GGAAATTCAAATTAATCTAGATTGAGAACTATCATAATTCACTGCTAAAGAGAATCTTTCAAAAATTTCAGTCCCCATCCCTTCAGGGAACTTCACAATCCACTATTTCTAGATCAGACTTCATTATCCAGGTCATCATTTCAATTTATCAGTGCCTTGGGGCCTCTGGTATTCTCAGCTAGGATGGTGTTGTGTCCATCAATCACGGGCTCTTTCCACATTCCCATTTTCCTTTCATCTCCTTCAGTCTTCAAAACAATCTCTATAACTTTCCATGGGTGTACACAGGACACAGACTCCTCTTCTGTCAACTGTTACCACTTTTGAAGGACAGGAACTGCTCTGTACAAATTATGGGAGTCCCAAGAACTGTTTTCATTGTAGGTCCTGTGTATTCTCATTTGGTTTTGGGTGGGTTTAACAGATTTACCAGTGCCTCTTTAGTCTGTATCCTGGCAAACAAAATAGCAATATGTCTTTCCTGGAAAGCTTACTGTTCAGTCAAAAACTGAATGTTACATGTTATGAACAGAAGTAAGGACCTGGCAAAGCAAAGACTGATTAGGATTTATTTTGCATCACAGAAAACACAGGTCTGGCAAAAGGACTGAAAGGGGGTTTAGATCAACATGAGGTAGATTTTGAAAAGAGCCCCAAAGGAAAGGGCAAGAATTATTATTTAGAGTGAGCAGAAAACAAAGGGCTGGCCAAAGGCTTTAAGGGAGGGGAGAGAAACATATCTGGATGATCCTGCTGCCTCTCTATCTCTGTAAGGGGCAGTATAACTCTAGCTTTGAAAATATACATCATTAACCCCAAACCACCCCAAACTAAATATAGTACTGAAATAGAAAGAAAATTCTGAGCTCAAAACAGACATAGCAGCCTTGAGACTAATGAATTGGCTGTACCAATTACCTGTGCACAATATTACATAGTCTCCAACCAAATAATATTAGTGTGGTTCTCAGAGCAATTCAAAGATGCTGCTGCACTTCATCAAATCATTTTTGGACATCCCACAAGCTTTCAAGAGAATGATCATTCTTAAAGGTAAAGCACAGGAGAGTTGTCCACACGTTTCAGTCCTATCTGGTTTTCAAGAAATTGTTTCTTCCATGTCTTTTTGTATCCGAATTTTTAGATTTGTTCAAAGGTAAGAAAAACCTTTGCATTTCTCAAACACCAGCTTTTTTTGCTCTTCTAAAGAGAGCAAAAGAGGGTTTCTAGTGCTTCACTRAACCAGGACTCACGTCTGTTGGTCTGCAGGGAGAGCAGGCTGAGGCATCAAAAGTATTGCAGTTAGTGAATTTAATCCTTCCGATGCAATCAGTCTGCAATGTGATCTGATTAAATTTAAAGACTCAAACCTGAAGTCCAGTACTTSRGGTCAAGACATAAATAGACAAAGAGCATGAAAGAGAAGTCTGCTGTGGGCTCAAATGAGCCCTGGGCTCCACAGCTCAGGTTTAAGATTTCTGAKAAATGCAAGCCAGGTGGATTGATTWAACACAGCATTAAAAAAACMTCTGGAAAAGAAAAACGTGYACATCAAAAAATAATCACRGGACAATCTTCTCAGTGTAAAATAACTAGCGGAATGTGGGACATATAAAATAAGTTTCTGCACACATGCCCACACTGCCACCATCAGCTTTGCTTTCTCATTTATTCAGGGGAACCTGKAATTGGCAAAGAGGCCCTGCCTGGTGGATAACAGAGGAGATGCTGAGCTGCTGGAGACATCAACACTGCTGCAAAATAGAGGATGTGTTCATACGTGTTTGTGCAATGGACACTCGCTGTGCRATATTATCCTGTCTCTACAGATAAATTAGCTGCCTCATGCTCCTGCCAGCTTGATTTGTTTAGCCTTTACAGAGCACAGAATCCATGGAGTTTCTTGTGATTGAATCTCACATAAAAGGTAAACCTGAGAGCTTATTCTACACTAAGCTATACATCCACCAAGGCAGTCAGAGCATTTGCTGACTTGATGATGAAAAGAAGGCTATAAAATATACCAGGGAAATTTTGAAACGTCGCTCACTTGACATAGCAATAAGAGCCCTGCATTAAGATGCAGAGCTGATTTCCCTGATCCATGAAATTGCCTGGATATTTAAGGCATTCTCAAACAGAAGCAGCGTGAAACTCACCCTCCATTCCTGGCACAAGGACACCATGGGTTTTGTGTTCTCCAATAAAAAGAAAGCTCAAAATTGCAGAGATTAATAGTCTTTAAGGGAGGACCTAAACACCATTTCCTTCCTTTCTCAAATAATAAGTACTCAAAATCTCTTGAATGCTAAGGGATGGTTTTGCTTGCTGACACACTGCTCAGGTGCCAGAGAGGCTCAGGTTCTCTGTTGTGAGTGGTTCAAGAATCTCTCACGATAAAACAGTGTGCAGGTCTGTGACCATCTCTGGAGAAGGATRTTTGTTTCTCTCATAAATAGGTGACAGGGCTGGAATAGGTACAATATGTGGAAAGCTATGAAAAATATTACAAAGCAATATATTGCATTATTTTATGGTCTGAGACTTGGGACATGACTCAGAATTCCTTACCAAGTGTACATTTCCAGCTGCTAAAGGGTGAGAAAAGACCCATTGATACAAAGAATTGGTGAACTGAGGGTCAGTTCAGGGTTTAATTACTTCCAAAGACCTATCCAGTGCAAATACATGTAAAGGGTGAGTTTGAGAGGACAATAATCTTCCCTAGGACTTTGTCCTGCAGGCTCTGCTACCTCAGATGCAAAAGAGGAACAGAGTTCAGCTGACAGCTCTTCTCATTTTGTAGCAAAATTTTGCACTGAGCAATTGAAAAGTCAGGCCTCTTCTGGTGCTTCCCGTATTTCTGTTCCTGCAGCACACAGAGTAGCCTCTATTTACACAGGTCTGCAGAATTCCACAAAATACAAAGAGAAAGGACTCTTGAAGCCATCTGCTATGTGACCCCATTCAAAGCAAAATCAGCTACACCTAATTAGCTCCTGAGATCTGCTTGCCTACCCTACTTAAACAGTCTCCACAAACTCCCTTGGATATTTATTGTGATGTTTTGCTATTTTTACTATTAGAATGTTTTTCTAATGTTTAGTGTGTTCCAGAAATTTTAATTAAAAGCTCCCTCAGAGGAGACCGGATTATTGCGGATTCTCATATGTGAAAAACCCCAAATAAATCCACATGCAGAAACACGACACATTGAATTTAAGGTTCATAAATTATTTGTAGGTCACAGTGGTGTTTTTTCAAACTTTGTGACTCAGAACGGTTTAAATGAAACCAGCTACTTTTGTATCCACCCTATTGTTCACTTAAAAGAAGATCTTGATCACAGTAATTTCTTTCCCGATTGAAGTTTTRAAAGCTCTAAATTCTCTGAAGAAAATAGTTGTTGGCATTTTTGGATGATAAACATCCCAAAGCGATGATGATAAATTACAGTGTTGCCCAATGATGCAGAAAAGTAGAGAAATGCAAACTGATAACCCCTGATTTATGAATACACACTCATTATTGCAAAGTCCAGGGTTTCACAGCTRTAAGAGCGGGTCATTTTCATCTCAGTGCTTATTAAAAAAGTGAGAAGGAGGCGTGAAGGGTGGCTGCCATTTTGCAATAGAATAACACTTAATGCTCTTTGTTTCCAGTGCAAACAGAAAGCAATAAAGAACTTCTTGCCTTTTTAAAGCTTATATAAGCGTTTGTTGCAATCACAGAAAATGGGGATTTTTACATCTGCCTTTGCCCATGTTCATACAAATAATTTTTCTCACACAYAATAATTTCTATGAACCTTTTCTCTACAGAGAGAAAAACATTTGCCCAAGGAATTAAAAGAAATCCTCTGATTTTCTTCTTAAATCATGTTGGTGATTATAACAAAATTTTCTTTGAAAGTATTTAAAYTTATTATTTCACCTATCAACAGACATTGCCAGTGAAACCAACCCAAAGCATTTCAAACCATGAGCCAAGGAATCTGTTTTGTCACAGTACAGAAATAAATTGCATTACATTCCTTCATCACTTCCCAAGCCTGGTGATATTCCAATTTCTTCTTCTCTCTCCCTATTACTCTCTGTTAAATATTCAAAGCAGGCAACAAAACGGAGAAGGAAAAATAAGGTCAACACAGCAAATTGGAAAAAGAGTAAAATGTTCCTATCCACCATCGCTTGGTTGTTGCAGTTATCTTAATCAACCCAAACAGGTTCTCTGAGACATCTAATTTGATTTTACAAAGTGCTAACCCGTGGCCATATTTGACTTTCCTTTGATTCCAAACGTAAAAAATAGCCTTTATCTAATGTAGAGGCATATCATCTAACCACACATGCAATTGCATTTGCATTACGAGGCAGTGAAACACGGCTGCAGACACATCTTGGATGTTATCTATGTTATTACTCAAGTGCAGAATATAATCATAAATCCTTCTCTTCCCTTCCACCCTCCCACCTCTTTTTTTTTGGAAGTAACTTAAAATCTGGTTTTCAGCTTCACTGGGCCCATTACATTTGAACTTCAGTAATAAGAATGTGATATGAATACGCTGAGAGAAAGCATAGACAAAAGGTATATTTTCATAATGTGGTTCAGTTTAACTGTTCCTACAATTAGCTACAACTCATTAGGCAATAAACAGAAAAACAAAGAGATCATGAAAGGAAGGGCAATATTTTCTCCATAAAACAAACAAAAAACTAAACCAGATGCCTCTTTCATGAGGCTTTCCTTGCGTAAATACASCCAGCAGCTTAGAAAAGATATTTTCTTGATTGAATATTTTTTGCCTAGGAAGAAAACCTGTAAACACTATTTTGTGCAATTTCAATAAAAAGTATTTACTGCTATTGTACACTTGGGATTTTTTGATCTCCAGGATTAAATAGCAATACAGCAGTGGACTGCAGATGACGAGATTTGATCTTTTATTAGTTCTCATAATTGTCTCTTAATTTGTATTCTGCATAATAAGCACTCACCTTCACTGTTTGTCCAGCTTCAGGGCCATCCTGTAAGCAAAGGGAAAAGTCTCAGATTAGAGGATCTAACAAGGATCACACAGGAATTCAGAAATCTTACTCAATAATCATTTACATCAAGTACACCGTATGTTAAATTAGTGTATTTTTCCTGAGGACCTTTCAACACTAAGTTTTTGGACAAGGCTCTTTGTGCAAAGTGAGAAACTATCTCACATTACAAAACCAACAATTTATATTTTTCATTCTTTCAGATAATATTTTTCAATAGCTAGCAATAGATTTCTGATCCTTGTGAACATAAAATCACACATGGAAGTGAGAATTTAATCAAAGTATGCTTGCTTAAATTCTGATTCTAAGAAATAGGCTTAATATCCCAGTTTGCTTTAAACAGAGTTCATTTTTGATATAAAAACACCCAGCACAAATAACAGAAAGGTCAGGATTTATAACATATTTACATGGCTACATCTCTCAGCMTGTGTATAAATAGCTGGGAGGAGGGATCACCTATTTCCAGCAGAAGCAGGGGGTTATTGTGGAACGGGGGATGCAGCTGCCTTCTCCAGGTCAACCCTGCAAACACTTCTTTGAAGGGAGAATATTTCCTGAAATACTCACAAAGCAGCACTGTGTTTTGGAGTCTTTGCTGGCTTTGTCCAAAGTTTTGCAGTTATTAATTAACCACACTTCCCTGCTGGTTTCCTTTTTAGATTTTTTCAGTGGTAAATCTGCAAGACTGCAATGCGGTTATTTGGCTCCTTGTTTTTTTATGGGTTATTTTGCATTTATTGCCCCTTGAAGTTCCAAAGTCCTTTTGTGACTGGACTAGGGAAAAAGGCTGCAAGCTTGATAAAACAAACCACGAAATGTTTCTTTTCTGACTGCTTTACAAACCTGGATGGAAAAGGTGAGCGAGGTGCCGCAGAAATGTTTCTCCACCACGTTGCCAACCCTTTGCGCCGCACGGAACAGATCCGCCACTTCCTCGGGACACAGGTCACGGAAACGCTCCACCGGCCGCAGGGGACACACAAGGACATCTGAAGTGGCAGTGTCAAGGCACAAACACAAATCTGGGTGGTCCACAAGGAGAAGTGTCTCAATCCCCAGCCCATAACCTGGTTCTGATCACTCTCGAATGGCCTGAGCTCTTCCTCTCTGATGACACAGCAAGAGCATCAAAAACATGGGGCTAAACACGAGGACTCATATGATCCTTTGTTCAGAATTCTTTTCCTGAAATCCCTCAGATAGGGACAAAATGACTAAACTAAAGCTCTTGTGCCATTACTGAGACATCTGAGGGAAAGCAAAGTTTTCACAGAATCCAATTTACCATCTCAGTGGAGAAATGCTCTCATTTAACACCTCTGAATGTCAGAAATATTTTCTTTTGTGATTAAAAACAGGGGAACACCAAAGAAATTTAAGAGGACCTTGGATGTGTGGTCTGAGACAGCAGTTTTGCAATGCTTTTCCCCATAAGTGATACATATTTTTGAAAATCTTGATCCTACACCTCTAATTTTAGGCATCTAAATGTGATGAGTGACACTATACTGATCAGAGCAGATCACTTATTTCTACAYGTCATTAATCACAATTCACAAGGAGTGCTATAATATACTATTGTTTTTAAAAATACATTAGGATAATTAAGATTATTTCCTTTTAAGCACAGTGTTCACAACCCTGTAAATATACTTTGATTTAATTCTATCTTGGTGACTGTGCTTTGTGAGTCAGTGAAATGAAGCTATAAAGTAAATAATGGAAGTACACAGACTTTGTTCACAGTCATCTGATCTGCTGTGTTCACAGTAATTAATAATTGCTATGATTCCTCACTTGAAAGCCAATTTTGTAATGATATTATTATGGTCCAGAATTCTTAGCAGAGCCTCAGCTGTGTAGATCCAACAAGCAAGTATTTGATTGTCTTCTCAATTTCCTACAGACAGAATTCTTTGCTGACTTACAGAATAGTATTTGCAGAATGAAGACCTTAAAGTAACCTTTAACACCACTTGAACTTTCATGACCAAAGGCTATGAAAACTAATTTTTTTTCCAGTATTAAAATGAGTGTTCAAAAGACTATTTGAAGAAAATTAAGTTCCGTGTCATTGTATTACAGTCATCTTTATTTTTACTGYGTGTTGAAGCCTGCAGGTATTCAGGAATATTCTCTGTAATCCAGAAAAGGTAACTAGGAGCTGCTCTGCAGTTAACAGGTTYACAAAAAGGTTACATCAACCTGATTGTCAAGAATCACATGAGACATTTGAAACAAGGAGAAATTAATACATGTGAAAGATCAATTATTTCCATAAGCACAGAGACAACATGTTTACATACACCAAGTTCACATTGTAGGAATCACACTTACAATTCTGAAAGAACAGAAACCCGGACATTTTCTTGAAGTAAAGATGTAGTGGCAGGTTTTGATCATTTTTCAAAATCCAGATGAGGACAGACAAATCTGTAATGGATATTTGTTAGAGTGGGAGCAGAACTGAGCAAGCTCTACCTGTAGCAGCTCCCAAAAGAATAGGAGAAGACTGATCCCAGCTGTGGGTGTTAATCTGCTTTGAAAATCTGTCTCAGGGTTTTTTTTTGTACAGAATCAGCTATGCCACCACAATTCTCCTTTTCTCTTGTTACAATTTACGGTACGAACATGTAAGAAAGGAGAAAAATATATTCAGAAAGCAGGTACTTGGAAATGAAACAATCCTGCAAGGGGACTAAAAGCCTGGTTTTGTGGGGTTTTATTTCTGAAATTCTGTGTCCCTGGGTAAGTTACTGGGCGTTGTAAACCCCTTGTAATTCACTTGTGCCTCGCAGTGCACTGTACAAAGCACATCCATAAAGGATGCTATTGGCTGAACTCGGGGCCCAGGGGAAGGGCTGGAAAGTTGCTTGGCAGAYCTGATTTCCATACCAGGAATAAAGGAGTAGAAAAACTAATTAATTTTACTCATAAAAAGGAAATCCATGTCAACACTAAAACAGGAAAAAGGACATTCGTTTAATCTGAGTTCATTTTTCAAGAGGGGAGAAGGGAAGYTTGTACCCTTAGGGCATCTGATACTTAAGTAGATAATTATCCTTCTTCTGCAGCACTGCTTTATTATCATGGCTCAATGAACCATTTATAAATGAAGAATTTCCCCTCACTTACCTCTAGCAAAACTGCTGCTTACATTAAGACAAGTTTCCTTTTCTCCCTTAGAGTTTTCCCCRGCAGTTTCTCTCCCTCTCAGACTCACATACGCCTCACCAGCCATTGTTTGTTCTCCRCCTAGCTCAGGGCCACAGCCACAATTTCTGCATTCATGATGGTTTCTGCAACCTGATGTTGGCACTGCATTAGCTGCCACTGTGGTGGGTTGAAGGAAATGTGAGCTAAACAGTGCTTGGGAAGGGTTTTGTTTCCCTGGCACATCGCAGAGGGAGTGAAGGCTGATTCTGACCGACACAGAACGGGTTTTCTCTTAATTTTGTCACGAATCTGCACTGTCTGCACTGTAAGATATCACGGTATCTCTCTCTTCCACTCTTTATCAGTCTTATCTGCTTAGACAGCATTGCCAGCTGGTGCAGTGGAGGCTTCCATGACCCTCTCTGCTCATATGGGGTCACTGCAGGACCTAACGCTGCACCCACAAACCAGGGCACCCTGCAAAGGGGACTTGCAATGCCTCCTCATTACCACAACTCATTTACAACTCAAACTAGATTTTAGCTATATTTCTGTCTTTGAGTTTGATAAATAATTCAAAGGCACAATCACACACTGGAGCATCTTTGCTGAACTTTCCAGCATTTCAAAATACTTCTACAAAGAATAATGATAGAAATTCTGAATCAGAGCTAAATTAACATGAGAATGTAATTAGGACAACATTCAAGTTATATTTAACTATGAATATATTAAAATCAAAATGTTAGAATGAATTCATGGATTTGAGGTCATTAAGAAAACAACCATCCACTGCAACTTTAAATCATAGTTTGTAACTACAATTTTTCACACTAGGATAGTTTTWAACTTTATATCTGGTAAGATTTTAAGCAGCTCTATTCACCTCAGAATTTTTCCTAAGTTTAGAATTAGATAAATKGTTCATCACTTTCTACAACAACCCACTGCAAACACTGCTATGAAACCACTTCAGGTGACTATGGATTAAAAATGCAAGAGAAAGTGAGTCTGTACTTATGTTTGTATGCAATCRCTCCTTAGACTGAAGCATCTTCTGCCATCTGAGACGCCTCAGGGCATCCAGCTGCCACTCCAGAAGGGCAGGAGTCTCCCATATGCCCYATGTCATAACTGCCAGTCAGGAGGGAAACCTGAACCATCTTGGGGTGTCTGGGATGGCCGCAGGTGCCTGGGTTTGGACAGGAGCCCCACTTTAACAGAGCAGCTCAGCAGGACGAGGGGCTGATAACCCAGCACAGACGTGCTGTGAGATTGATGACAGCAATCTGCCTTCAGAAAGTTTGAACTTTATGTTTCCTTTCTCTGAACACTATAATTAATAATTTTGTGATTTGTTCATTCATTCTAAACTGCTACTGACTGATGACGTTTCTATTTTTAAGCTTTGATGTGCACAGCTGTTATTTCCTTCAAATTCTCAGAGTCAGTCCACATCACCAGAGCACACGCAATTTAATATGTCAACTTCTCCATTTTAAGGAATGAAAAACCTTTACACCTTATAATCTGCAACAATACATTTCTCTAAATCTCGCAGACGTCTCTTCACAGCCTTACTTGTCTCCCTAATACCTAAATATGAATACACAATTCAATATGCAAACCCTCACACACATTAAAAGCTCCATTAAAGATTCATTAAGCAATGAGGAATGTCAGTATTTTTCAGTCTATCAGCAGATAGTAGCCTCGGACAGAGGACTCAGATTCTACAAGAAAAGCAAAACTTGCAGCCCACATCTGCACAATGATCGCTTCAAATGTAATTTTCCATCCACTAGCACACGTAGAGTAGAGGCTGAAATTCAAAGGCTCAGTAGTAATTTTTATTTGCTTTATAAGAATTTTGACTTTGAAGCTTAAATTATTGTGATTGTGTATGCAAGGCCCAGGCCAGGCTCTGTGTTTCTTTCAATGGGACTCCACTCAACCCCACAAAGTGCCTATTATAAATTTTCACTCATAACTATCAAGGTACACACAAGGTTCTGTAGTTCTGAARTGTTGGAAAAATGGCCTTTGGGGGGGTCAAAAAAAGAAAGAAAACCAAAAAAAAGAAACCCCAAAGAGGTTAAAATTCCTTTTATGTGACAAGCTTTAGAACTGAACACAGCTTTTTCCTGGTTAAGTCCATTAATTTGCTATATAGAAACATACTTTCAGTTTTGACTCTTGTTTTATTCCTGAATTTGAACTTCAAACAGAACAATTCAAAGCTTTATAAAGGAAAAAATTAAAGGCTCTCCAGGTACTGACACTCTAACAATAGGAATAAAGTTCTTTTTTTTTCTTTGTCTTTTTGAGGAACCACTTAAAAACATTAAAATTGACAGGTTTTCTTAATACGTGAGGCTTTAAAAGAACAAAATACAAGGTGAAAAAGGCAAAATATCTAAAAGGGAAAGGGTAATTGCTACTTCATGAAGCTCCTGGGTTTCACCAATACTGTTGGCTTTCACCAATACTGTTGGCTTTCTATGCAATTTGTTACAGAATTTTCTAACTCAGGAAAATTATTTATTTTCAATGTGTAACAGAGTTAGGGATCCATAGCTCACATCAGGATGGAAACACTGTTCCTGTTTCTTTGGAAAGTTTTCTATCTCGCAAGAGGTACTTCAAGAGTTATTACCTAAAAGAGCAAAACAACCTGAAACCCACCCCCCCCCCCGCCCAAAAACAAGCAAAGCAAAAACATATTTTAATGATGAAAAGCAGAAGTTAATAAAATCGCCAAAACTTTAAAAAGTCTTAAATAATTATTTTTAGCATTCTAGTTTTGCACATAAAAATTAGTCTAGTTAATAAT